GACCAACCCCACAACCGTCTAAAAAGTAACAATTAAAAATTTTAAAAAATCCCTGCACGCAGGGTTCCTGAGATGCTGAGAATCGGCGACTTCATACGCGTGCCATCCACACGCCAAAGGCCAGCCGCTGGAACCGCGCGAGGCGCCCGCCCCCACCCCCGTCACCAGAGCGCCCCTGACTTTCCAAGGAGACAGTCTGTTTCTCCCTTGGCCAGAAGGAAGAAAGCATCACTGTGCGACTGAGGGCTTCGGTTAGGGGACCAGCAGGGGTGGCAGGGCCGGTGGCGAGGACGCGGGGCCGCGGCCACCAGCGCTTGCCGGCGCCACGATCTCCTCAGCGGTCTGCCACTGCTAGGTCACAGCTTTTGGTAAAAGTGGCAAGTTCTTCGCTGCCGGAACGGGAGGCAGAGGCACGGTGTCAGGTGAAACGGTCTCCTCAGCTTTTCCCTGACAAACCAAATTCATCCCTTACGTAATTGATAACGGCCTCGGCCAATTATTCTACACATTACAATACACAGAGGCCCCCTTTGCAGGCTTTGTAGGGCTGTAATTAGCTATGCTAATATCCCCTTTATTGGCCCTAATATCGCCCAACACCTTTTGCCATCCTGGAACCCACTGGAGCCCCATGGCCTGTCAGGACCGCTGATTATTGAGAAGGATGGCTTTAATCAAACATAATTGCGGCTAATTTTTCTCTCCTGCTCTCTGTTGCCAGCGCCGAATGCCACGGACTCCTTGATATTCCATTAAATTACAATTAAACAGCCTCCTTTGTTTCCGATTGTCCTGAGCAACGCCACAAAGTTGTGTAGCCGCTCGAAGGAGAACTGTTTGGTCCTAATTGCCTGCTCGCTCACAAAGGGCCAATTTGCACGATACCCCTGTAGAATTTAAACGGTTCATAATGTAATGGATATTACACAGGAGCCTCGCACTACAATTAAAATGATTTTCATCAGATAGAGAAGCTCTGGGTAATCAGCTTCATAAAAGTAAATATAAATGAACTAATTCATAGCTTAAACACACAGAAATGGAGCCGACTTTGAAATTAGTTGCTGTGGTGGGGGCCTGCCCCTCACCGCGTGACACCTAGACTGGGTGCCTCTTATTAGTTCGGGGCCTGAAAGGCGTCTCGGGCCCGCCACGTGTCCAGGAACGAGGGTCGTTTGAGCCGACTCTGGCGCCGACGCCACCAGGACCAAAGTTGGAACTTTCTTCAGCGGCCGCGGCTCCGTGTGGAGCAGGCGTGAGGCCGTCCCCCCGCGGGGAGGGCGGGCTGGGACTTTCCAGCTCAGACTCTGGGTGGCAGTTGCTGGACCCCGTGGCTCCCTGGTCACTGCCGTCCCAGGCACAGGCGCCCGGTCCACGTTCGGGGGGTGCTGGAACGTGCCCTTCTCTCGCGAGTGGGTGGGGTCTCCAGCTGGCATTCCCTCCTGTCCCCTGCACACCCTGACGGGGACACTTGACTTCCGAAGTGACGAGAGCACACCTGCCCCCCGCCTAAGTGCCCCGGAGAACTTTCCGGGGCCCTGTGTGCCGTTCCTGAGCAGAGCAGGACTGGGGTGCGCTGGCGGGCGTGTGGCCTGTGCCCCGGGCTGCTGCCTTCTTTCCTGCCTGGGAGACACAAGTAAATAAAGCCCATATTTCAAGCTTGATTTACTCTCGTACCTGCTGTGGAAGACGATGACTCTTTAGGGAAATAAAGACAGGGTCAGGGGATTAGTGTACATAATGGTCATTTTGATGATGGGCCAACAGCTGCCGCGGGAAGCGCACGGCGCACAATTAAGCGAAATGTACTAATGACGGGTTAGGGTTTTTATCGTCTCTTTGCCATCGAGCAGCAGATCCATGTTTAGCAGTAATAAAGAGTTTATTGGTGTTAAAGCCAAAGATTTTCTGACATCGGAAAGATTTTTCCTTTCATAACAAGAGTATTAAATCCTTTGTGTGCCAGGCCCTGGAAGTGAGCGATGTAAAGTGGTCGTCAGATATTTCTTAGCAAAACGCCAGTTAAAGGGCAGTTGAGTAAGTGGTGGGAATTACTGTTTGGGTTTGTGCGTGGGGCGTCCGCTTTCCTCACCCGCTCCCCAAGCACCGCCCCAGCGCACGTCCCTGAGCACTAGCTGGCGGGACACGTACGTGTGCCCCACGTGTAACTAGACGGCGTCAGCTGTCACGTGCTGCTGGCCGTGCCCGTCTACCCTGTGAGGCTTAATTGGGTCCTCGAGTTAAGTGTAACCCAAACGAGGGTGAAAGTAAGTGTAAGGCTCCCCTTCCCCCTGTCCCAGCAGTTGTCACCCCTTACTTGGTTTGCGTGCTTGGGACTTGACGGCTTGAAAGGGGTTCTGCTGTCTGGGGCCACACACCACAGACCCCGCCCAGCGCCAGCCCTGCTGGAGACGCCGGAAGACGAGCAAAACTTCCATAAACACATCCAAAACGCACGTGCACGCGCGCACACATGCACACGTACGGGTGTGCATGCACATGTGCACACGTGTGTGTATGTGTGTCGATGCATGCGGGCACGTGCGCACAGCCTGCTGGAGACGCCGGAAGACGAGCAAAACTGCCATGAACACATCCAAAACGCACGTGCACGCGCGCACATGCACATGTACGGGTGCGCATGCACATGTGCACACGTGTGTGTATGTATGTGTGTCGATGCATGCGGGCACGTGCGCACACGTGCACACGAGCGTGCACATGCACGTGTGCGCGGCACGAGCATACATGTACATGTGCGTGCATGTGCATCCATGTGTGTGCACACATGCATGTGGATGTGCGCGCACGCACACACACCTATACAGGCATGCGCGCACACGTGTGCACGTGACCACACACGTGCTTACATGCACAGGCACATGTGCACACACGTGTGTCTACATGCACATGTGTTCACACACATGTGCAAATGTGTATGCATGCACGTGTGCGCTGCACGAGCATGTGTGCACACGTGAATGTGCGTGCGTGTGCAAGTGCGTGCATTTGAGTGCTAGCATCTTTGTGTGTGTGTGTGCACGTGTGTGTGCACCGGCCCCAGAGTCAACCCTGGAGAACACTTGGCGTTGACGGGGCTCGGCACCCAACTTGGCTAACCCGCACCTGATGGCAGGTGAGACCCGCGCCCGGCGACGTTCACAGCCGTGCCCGGTCAGACCTTCCAAACCTGCCCTGCTTGCTCGGAGGTGGCAGGGGGAGCTGGCTAAGCAGACGTCGAGGCATCTAAGGAAGCCCCCTCTGGGTGGGGGAGAGCTGACTGTCACAAGAGGGGCTCCGAGGCGGCCCCATGCAGGCCAGCAGCCTCCCAGGCGGCGCCTGCTCAGATTAGCCGGGTGGTGATGTGTGGCATAATTGCACCGCGTGGCCGTCCCCGAAGTGAGGACCTAATTGCCTGACAGGACGATGACTCTGCCGCCCTCACCTTGTTAGGCCCCTTCCGATGCAGCGCGAGAGCCGCGTGGCCGCAGGTGCGCCTAATTCACCTCGCCCAGAGCGCGTGGGGTTTAATTGCACGGCGGTTGTTAGGAAAAATTGGTGGGTGGAGTATCCAGTGACTTACTGTGTGCTGGCGGCAGATGGTGTTAAGAGGCAGCGTGAGCCAAGCGCATAGGTGAGGTGAGTTAATAAAAGATGTAAATTCCGGCCTGAAATAGCGAGGCCCTGCCGTACGCAAGGACGTTTGATTAAGTGGCCGCTCTTCTCTGCCCATCCGTCGGGGGTTTGCCCTGGCGAAAGGCGTCAGGATGCGTCGGGAACGCGTTAGAGAGATGGCTCCGTCCGCCGAGGCTTTTTATTTTCGGATACGGTCGTCGTCAACAAGGAACAGCACAAGGTCGAGTTCAAGGAAATCACGTGAAACTTCATAGAAACTTCGTGGTCATCGAGTAGGCCAGGTGCTGTTCGGAGAGCAGATGGAGAAGGCCTTGGCGTGGGGCCTTGCTGGACAGGACACTTAGACCCCCGAGGGGAGCGCATGTCAGCGTAGAGATGCCACCGCCTTGGCTCACGACGGATGTGGCCTTCTCAAGATGAGGCAGAGGGGGTGCAGAGACAAAACCTGTCGTCTCCATGGTTGAGTCACAGCGAGGCTCCCGCTGTCCGTACTGTGAGCCAGAGCTTCTGCATTTGTCACCGAGTGTGCGGGAATGGGGAGGCCAGCATGATGCCGTTTTTGTCACGGCCTCTCAACATGCGGCCAGGACCCCGGAATCCTCATGCCTCAAAGCCAAGGGCAGGGCGTGGCGGGACGCACACCATGCTCACATGTGCCCTGGGGTGCCTGCGCGTGCCGGGGTGCCTGCGCGTGCCGGGGTGCCTGCGCGTGCCGGGGTGCTCGCGTGCGCCCCAGGTGCCCGTGTCTCTCCTGCCCTCCGCCAGGTGGCGGTTACATCTCCACAGCAAAGGCGTCGATCGTCGCCATAAACACACACATAAATCTTTGCAAAACGCATCGTAGCCCCTAAAACAACACTCCCACACCCTTTCTTCTCTTAAGAGTTGTATTTCTTGTGACTTTTAAAACCCGTCTTTAGAAGCGTGTTTACCTCGGCAGCGGTGTCCTCTGGGGCCGCCAGGTGGAATGCAGCAGGAACAGGTAAATGAGTTTCGAATAAACGAGGAATAATTGCTCAGGATGGGTATGTCCCACAGCACGACTTATCCTAAAAAAACTGCCCGAAAGTCAGGTTTAACTAGGCGTCTCAGGTTTTTATTTGCTGCCAGCCCCTCTGGGGCGAGTGTTTGCTCAGTGGTTAACAGTCACTCGTGCAAAAACCTAGGCAAGAAATGGCCACTCCAGGCCACAGTTGTCGTCCCAGAACTTGGAAACCCATGACGTCGAGCCGTGTCCGCCGCGGCCTCACGCACGGAGGCGGTCTGTGTGGCCGTCTCCACGGCCCCCACGCGAACGTGTCTCGGAGCGTTTGTGTCTTTTGTCTGATGACCCTAACAAATATCCATCTTTTGTATTTCCGTAGATTCTTTCTAAAGTTTTTCCTCAAGTGCAATCAGAACTGTTTGAAGAATGCGGGCAACCCCCGGGATATGCGGAGATTCCAGGTACGGCTCCCCCGGACGCGGCCGCGGGCGGCCTCGCGCAGGCCGAGCGCTGACGTTGCACGGCCTTTAGTGCTCAGGGGCTTTGGAGCAGCCAGAACCGGTGCGCTGGCTAAACTAATGCTCTAATGGTGATCTGGCGTCTTCGCTGTGCTGGTCCCAGAGCCCGGTCGCGGCCCACGGGGCGTGGAAACCAGCTCTGAGGACACGGCCATGTTGTTGCCGCGGGCACGGGGAGCGCCCTCGGGGCGGGCACTCGGGACGTCCCGGCCCGGAGTGACCAGGGCTGTAGGTTAACCGGGTTCCCACTTGTTTTCTACCATGGTAAGTCCCGTGGGTGTGTCTCAAAAGGACTGTTTTAGGATTTTCTCTTCCAAATAGAGTCTTCTTAACATTAGCGTCTGATTTAGCCCATTTCCTCTGTTATACGTGGCTGTCCAGGCCCCGCTGACGAGCATTGGGAGCCCACGCTGGCGGTCTCTCAGGGGTCAGTCGGTTGGTGGATTTTCCCGGGGGCAGAGCCACAGGTCAGCCTGTCGGGGATACGCCAGGCCTGGGCGCCCCTCGAAGGGAGCCACACCTGTCAGATGCAGGCCTCTGCAAATTCCATATTCTTCTTGCCTTTGTGAGTGATTTGAAGGTTACTTCAAGATGAAGGGTATTCTGCACACATGATGGATTATTTTGCTGATTTTAGTTGTAAAAATATTCTGGGCTGGGTCACGAAACTGCTGCTGGTCCCTACCAGCCTGCGAGGAACTTGCCTGCTGATGGAAGTGACTGCCAGATGGGATGAGTTCACCAGCAAGTTGCTCAAGGTGGTTTTAGAAATTTAACTTCTGCTTCAGTCTTTTAGGGAAATGTGACATCTGCCCTTACAACCAACCAGCCAATCAGAGAAGGGTCTTCAGGCTCGCGCAGGCCACGCTCTGAAGCCGCAGGCAGGGTCTCTGGCAAACAGTCGGGCCTGCATCCATTTGTCTTGCACAGGCCTTCACAGGCGCTCTCGATCCACCTGAGCAGAGCCGAGTCACACAGTAGTTCCTCGACGGCCACACGCAGCATCAGTCACAAGTGGAGCCCTCAGCTCCTAGAAAGACTTCCTCCGGTCTCTCCCCTAATCTCTCTGCCTCTCAGAGGTTTAACCGGACTGAGCAGGAGGTCGGGGCTCGCACGGCGCTTCCAGCTGGTCTCACAAGCCGAGCACCTTTCCGCAGGTGCGCCGCGGGCCTGGCCACGGCCGAGGAACAAAACACGGCTTGTCTGTTTTCTTAGTTGAACTACACTCTTTTCCCTTGGTGACTGACCCACATATACATGACAGAGCGGAGACAGTGCCCTTCATTTTATTTCTGCCTTTCTCGTTTCTTCAGCATGTCATGCTCTAGGAACTTTAAAAGGGTCAGGCCGTGCCTCAGCGTTGGCGGTGTGTCTGTGCATCCCAGGCAGGCATGCGCTGGCTCCTTCACCCCCAGGGCGGGGCGGCAGCAGCCGTGCGTCCTCTGGGCAGAGCAGCCAGGCCCCTAGCGGCGCCCAGGCGGTGTCAGAGCCTCCCCCGACCGGGGCCGGGGAGAAGGCCGCCTTGTGGGCAGCAGTCAGAGAGCATGCCGAGGTATCCAAATCGACACCTGGCAGTATTTCGAGGTTCAGAGTGGCCCCATGGGGTGGAGGCCCCCGAAATTTTGGCAGGGCCCATGGGGGAGACTCGTCAAGGACGATTCCCCAGCAAGATAGCCCCTGGGGGCGCAGTGGGTACTGCCCCCACTTCAGTCTGCCTGCGGGGCCCGAGAGGCTTTTAAATAGAAGATGAGTTACTAACACGCATCCGTATGCACGTACGCAGCTCTGATTTTCATTGGACTCTTAAACATTTGACTTATTTATTTTTTTACGAATAAACTTGCTTTAGAGCAGCTTTAGGTTTACAGAGACATTTCTCAGACAGTGCCGAGAATTCCCACATAGGCCGGGGCGCCCCACGATTCCCCGATGATTAGTGCCTTGAGCTGTGTGGCGCGTTTGCTGCACAGGAGCTGATGCCGGTGCATCCTCCTTTGCTGAGGCCCACGGCAGCCTCGGCTCTCGTAGGCATTTTATGGGCGTGTTTCGACACACACAGCCCAGTGTGGGGGGCAGATGCGGACGTGAGCCCCGCTGGTGCCCCACTCACCTGCTCACGCTGCACATCTCTCTGTGGGGTGTGTTCCCTAGGGGTGCTGGCCCTCCCTGCTGCCCACACGCGGCAAAGCGCCAGGCTCCCTGCGCCCCAAACCCAGGCCCAGCCCGTGAACCTGCTGTGAGATGCAGACGGGCCCCTGGGCCCCTGTCCTTGCCGTTCCAGCTGCTCTGGAGAGCATGTGCCACACAGACACCCCCCCGAAAGGAGAATCGCCAGGCGGGAGTGATCGCCTGCTTCCCGAGAGCATCCGTGGGTGCCACGCGGGGATGCTTGTCCCAGGGCCCCCGGGGTGGTGTGTGGGGTCAGCGAGGCCGTCCCCCTCCCTGCCTTGGCCGTCCTCGGGGGCTGGACGTGGGACGGGAAGCCTGTCACTCCAGCAGAGAGGACGGTCCCTGGGCATATCAGGTCCTCGCACCCTGGCAGGGGACTTGAGAAAGGATACGTTCCCTGGGTCCCTCTCACTGTTCATACTCAAGTCGGCCTTGGCAGAGGCGAACAAGTTCATGACCAGACACTGGATGTGAGGGGGCGTTTGGATGGCAGAGCGTGGGGCGTGGAGATGCCTCCGATTTCTGAAGCCTTTTTTTCTTGGCAACTGAATTCTCTCAAGTTTTCTAGGGAGGACGGTCTCGAGCGGACTAAATTTTAATTAGCTAAACTATCTAATCAATATGTGAACAGATCGATCAAAACAGCAGCTTTAAAATGAGTGGCCAGAGGGGTGTTTCTGAAGCTAACGGCCAGAAGAAGGCATCTCTGACTCGAATTCACTTGTTGGCATGATAGGAGATCGGACCGTAATCAGGGAGCAGGCTTCGAAGAGCAGCAGCGGAGTCAGAACCGAACCGAACCGGACGCCGTGCCGGCCTGTGGGCCGTGACGGCCTCCGGGGCGGCCAGGCCA